GGGCCTATACAGCATGTAACATCGGAGGTCCTCGCTCCCGGGGAGGGTAAGCCTGCAATGACTTGCTGATTTCTGCTGCCGAGATTGACAGCGAGGCTGTACACTAACCCGGCAGGTTAGATTCGTAATTTTGTTTGGCTGAGGGTTAACTGAGAGACCTGCCTGTAAGGAAATTCGTGAGGGACAGATCTGCAAATCCGGGTAAATACAGGCCCGGTACTACCGAATTCCTACAGCTACCCTAACTGCCTATAGCAGGCCCGGGCGACCCCTAGGACAGACAGGCCCTAAGCGGCCTATACTGTTGGACGGTCCTATAGCCTATAGCCGGGTCCGGTAGAGGCCGAGAGGCCGAAAAACAGCAATGGTACCGGTCGGTCAGTCAGTCCGGTCTAGGTCTAGAGAGTCTATAAATAGGTTAGGCTCATCGGTTCAGGACTTTTGGCAGTTCATTTCTCGCGAGCAGCGTGGGAGAAGCCAAGGAAGTTGGTGGCGGTACCGGTCTACAGGCGGCATCCTGAGACAGCCCGCAACAGCAACCATAGCCGGCCCTAACTGAGTCTGCCATATCTGGGGCATCCTCAGCGCATCTACCCTTGGGGGTATCTGCGTCTGGCCGGGCTTCTTCGAGGCTCTGCACTGAGTGGTTCGTGGGTCGTGGCAGCCATAGCTGCCTGTTCCTTCGTCAGAGTTGTGCAGCGGCACTGAAGACTTCATCACAGGACCTGTGGTTGGCGCTGGCCTCTGGGATGCTGTTCTGACATAGCGCTACTAACTGGGTGTAGGATAGGGAGTGGGGTGTGAGTTTGGGTGTGGCGAGATACTGGAACAAACTCTGTTACGATAATAGTGTGMGTGGCTCATCATCAGTGACAGTTTCAATTGTGATCTTCGCAGGTTCTTTGTTGTGATTGGTTGTTGGGAGTTGTGTCAGAGAGTGAGAAACACTGTGCCTTCTCCCCTGCTGTGCATAATTGTCTTCCGCTGTTTATCTTCACCTGTGTGCAGTGTGGACTCTGTCTCCTCTCTCCCCATCTCTTGTGCATGTATGGGCATGTATGAGACTGTCTGTGTGTGAGTTGCGAGAAAATTCGTCAGACAACCAAGTTCATAACATCAGAATTCCTCACGGAACTGATGATAAAAAAAAAAAAACAAATCACACTAAGGCACCCCCCTTTAAAATTCATTGATACTCTCCCCTTACCCCCCATTGACAGCCAACTCTCAAAAAAAGAAAAGAGCCCGGATTTGGGCTCCTCTCAGAGAGCCCGGGAAAACCCCACCGCCAATTTTTTTTATTTTTTTTTTTCTCCCCATTCTCGGGTATCCCGGGCGTCACGCCCGGGTGACCGGCTGGTCGTGAAAATCTTCCTAGCTTTTTTTGTTTTTTATTTTCTTTTGTTTTGGGCCCGGCTGAGTAAGTGGTCCCGGGCCATTCTGGTAGCCTAACTGTTTTCCAGTGCTGCAAATATATTGTATGTATGGAAATGTATGTGTGAGACAAAGTGTAGATTGATGGGCTGTTGCACTTGTCTTTGGATTGGAAGTAGAATAACCCCAAAGGACATGAAGTAGCCTGAAGAGGGGCTAATTGCCATTGCCATGAATGGATGAACTGGAGAAAGCGGCCTAGATCCAGAACATTTTTAGTTATCCATCCTGGTCTGAATCTGAAGTAAGTTATGTTCGAGATCTATCTGATAATGTTTGGAAAGGAGTGGAGTAATCACTAGGTTAGATGATTGTGGTTTATCTTTGTGGTCTTTGTTATGGGGGTTGTGCCTGTGCATGAGAATTTGTGTGGTCGTGGAGTGGTGGCTGTATTATCAATGAATCATAATGACTGGAACAGCTTTTATTTGGTATAGGTTGCCACAGGGACAATACCTCTTGTACGATACTTACCCCATAATAACTTCTGGAGGAGCTGCCATAAGTGCAATTCCTTTTGTATGGGACCCCATAGTAACTTGGTGTGTGTGTGTGTGTGTGTGTGTGTGTGTGTGTGTGTGTGTGTGTGTGTGTGTGTGTGTGTGTGTGTGNTGTGTGTGTGTGTGTGTGTGTGTGTGTGTGTGTGTGTGTGTGAGAGAGAGAGAGAGAGAGAGAGAGAGAGAGAGAGAGAGAGAGAGAGAGATTCCCGGAACTCCACAAGCTCTTACGAGCCTGTGCTTCGCATCTATTATGTAAGGTTGTTCTTCACGAACTTGACAAATTCGTCTCTTTGACCCTCAACAAAGCCAAATTCGACGCGGAAACTCCCCGTCGAAGACTCAGCGGCGAGGCGGAGACCGGCAAGCTAGGGTGTCCTGATGTGCTTTGAGGGCTAGAGTTGTGATTGTCATCTATCTATTACATAGATGAATTAATCGATGCTATTGTTCAATGTCCGTTGAGAACTTGAGATGACCCATTATGCATGCTTGTGAGCACTTGTGACGTTTTATGGATGTCATCGCCTGTTTGTCTGATCTGCAGGTGGGTGTTCCATTTTGCTCACCTTCGGCAGCTCCCTGTGCTGGCTCCTTATATCCCCACATCATCTCCGCAATTGAAGGACACAGTTTACGAGGTGCCGGATGCCTCTCCCGCTCTATGTGAGCTCTTGCTTTGTCGGTGAAATTGTATTTTGTAATTTTCATTCTGGCAGATGTGTTTCTCACGTTCACGTACTGCAATATCTTTTTTTTTTTGTGTTTGACACCCGTCGACCATAGCAGCTCAAACCCCACGTTGCTCCGGTCATTTGCCTACATTGTATATCCATCTCCTTTTTTTGGTTTTTGTTCTGTGTATCCATCTCAATCAGGCTGATTCAGCATTTGTGATCGTCTATTATGGGTTGGGTTATCTATTCTTGTCCTATCTCGCAGTTTTCGTCTTCATTTTTGTGCATTTCCCTTTTTTTAGTTGTTGCGTAATTGTTACATCGTCTTTTCTTCTCATCGGATCTTATACAGCTTTGATCTCCCCCCATAACCTTTAGCAATCAACCTCAGTTAGGTTGAGGCAGCATTGATGCTGACTCAGCCTTCTGTTTCTTGTTCGCTATGTCTGTTATTGGCTGGTCATAGAATGGGCTATTGCGGCGGCTATACACTTCCCTTGCAGGCGCTCTACAGATCTGCAAGGAAAGTTTATAGCCCTTTCTATTACCTTTTCACACTGAAAGTGAATAGCCCATTCTATAGCCCTTTTTACCTTTTCACACTGGAATCGTATAGGCCATTCCATAGCCGCTATTGACATGATTCCCTTCTTGAGAGCAAGGCTGCCTCTTTCGGTCCAAATACAGGCATGATGCTGGGGTTCTGTGTTCAGAGGAAGTAGGTAGGCCCTACTTAATAGGTCAAACGGACTCAAACCTTGACACGGCAAGGCTGTTCAAAGATTCCCTTATTTTTTATGATGATAGGACAAAACCTGGCTTCGGTTGGGGGGGGGAGGGTCAGGGGTCGCTGAAATCATCTTCTGCAGATGGTGGAAAACAAAAAGTGTGTCGAGGGGGCAAAGGCACTGATCTTAGCTTGCAATGAGAGGGGGGCAGAAGAGAGTGGGGATGAGGGGAGCGGGGGATGTTGAGTGGTCTTGCAACTGGCTGTCATGGATGGTAGGGGGGTATGCAAAGGGGGAGGGAAGGGGTTTGAGGGATTCTGTCTGTGGGGCAGGGCAGGGGGGGCGTTGGGGGGGTGGATGTTGCACCTGCGTTTCGTGGATGGGGAGAAGAGGAGGGGGAAAGCCAGTGAGAGTTGCTGTATCTCACACATTTGCAATGGGATAGTAGAGGGTGCTGAGGCACAGGATCTTGTCTTTCTTTGCCTTATGTTTGTCTTCTTGAGTTGTCTCAGTCTCCCATATGTATCCATCTACGATGGGGTGTTGCACCTGCTTTTCGTGCATGGGAGAAGAGGAGGGGGAAAGCCAATGAGAGTTGCTGTACCTCGCGATTGGAGAGGGTGTTGAGGCACATGCTCTAGTCTTTCTTTGCGTGCTGTTTGTCCTCTTGAGTCGTGTCAGTCTTCCATAGGCATCCATCTGCGATGTGCCCCATTAAAGCTTGCAATTCTGCCTTTCTGCAGAAATGTGCCCCCTGTGGCGAATACCGTAGGTGGTTGGTGGGGATTGAACCCACGACCTCCTGAATGCCACGTGCGTTCCTTTCTGCAAATATGTGCCCACTGTGGCTAATGCTCTCTAAAGGGTTTTCTGACGAAGAGGGTTTCTCTTTTGTCTTCCTGTTTCTATCATCAATTTGCGTACGATGTCTGTTTTGACGAGGACCCTTTGTCATAGCACATGCTACTCCTCTTGTCATTCATCCTAAAATGAGATTCTACACTGAGATGTCTGGGAATAATCAATGGTGCGCGCCTCGACAACAACATGTTGTCACGTTTTATCTCTTGAATCCTGAAACGAAGTTTCGCTTATCGTTCCACCAGGATGCCGTGGAATAATCAGTCATACGTGGTGTACGTTTTACGCGCTGGACCTTCAGTTTTTGCTCACTCTTTGTTTCTGTGAAATTTCGTCCCCTTTTTTTTTTCAAATTTTCACTGTTTACAGGAGAAAACGCATTCTGAAGACAACAAATTTGGAATTTGTTTATGAGAGTGGCTATTGCATCCTTCTCTCCTTGTTACAGAGCTGTGGGGTTTGGCACCACACAACTGTCTACAGGGAAGGAGTCTCTGTCTATCGTACGGTGCCTCTCTCTGTCTGACTGTCTGGGGGTGTCCCCAAGAACTGGGCTTCGAACTGCCACCTTAACCGACAGCTCATGACTGGGCGCCGGCATGTGTAGGGAGCTTGGGTTTTACCAGTAGAAGAATGGTTATGGCCCGCCAACGTCGTTAAAAAAAAGATGTAGTTGCCAACGACTGCCATTGGATTGCAATCTGTGCAGTTTCCGACAACTGCCGACCTCTGCCATGTAGCTCTTTCCCTGACCACCGAGGTGTGGCGATTTGTAGGGTCGGGCAAACCACAGTCTCCGCGAAATAACACTTCTGATATCAAACCCAACTGCTACTGTTGTAGCCGCTCCCCAAAGTAGAAGATGAGATGGTCATCTTTTGTCTGAGGAAACTCTCTCCGGAAGCTTTTCAAACAGAGTCTGCTTGTAGGCTATAATGGCGCCCAAACCGACTTTGGGTATTTTGACGTCATCAAAATAAATCATTACTGGCTGGTTGAACCACCACTTCGCGCCCCACACAAAAGGAACGAGTCTAAACTTCTCTCTAAAGCAATACATTGGACATCCACAAGTTTGGGGGCTCGGGGCTTACGGGACCAAAACGGCTGGCACAGCCATGCAGGTAAGGGAAAAAAATCATGCTCCTGCTGGTTCGTTTTTTCTTTTGGCATGGATATCGGATTCATAAAAACAGCCTCGCACGAACTCGTCGGTCATTTTTTCATGAACTTGGATGGAAAATTTGTCAGTATGGTTTGTGTTTCGAATGTTGCCGGATCTCGCTGACTGAGCTTTCGGCCGGACAAGTTGACGTAGATTTTTTGTTCGTTTTCTGGTGGAAGCCTGACCTTAGATCTGATCTATGGTGTTTTTCGAACCATGCGACTCCCAGCACTTGGAGCACACTGGCTGTGCATACTGCTGCAGTTGTGGCTCCCTTAACCTAGGCTACCAGGGTGTGCACGGCTGGCCAGCCTGGCCGGGCACCTGTGCAGGTTGCCGAGTGTTCTGCCTGCCCACTTTACCCTGGGCATGTAAAAACTCGTGATTCGTTTTTTTTTTTTTTTTTTGATCGGTGGTGACAGTGGAGCTTTTCTGCACCCACTTTGATGACTTTAAGTTTCTCTTTTATCTTCGATTCAATTAGGAATTCTAAAGTGGCCCTCATCCAGGACCTGTTTGCATTGCAATTCTACAGAAAATGTTTATATGTTCTGTTCAAGAAAGAAGTAAAAAAAGAGGAATTTTAAAGTTTTTAATTTCTATTTTTTTTGGTGTTGGGCTGCCCGGGACCTGTCAGGGGGTCCTGCCCGGCTGGGTAGCCGGGCGCGTGTCTGGGAACGACCCTCATGCCCGGGCGCATGGAAAAACTCCTTCTGCTGTGGTGGATTTGCACTGCGCACCAAGCTGTGCCGAGCTGTCAGCGGTGCACTTCTTTTCTTTTTTTTGGCTGGCGCTGCCAGCCACTGTGGTCTGGTAGCCCAGATCTCCCGAAATTTTCGGACTGGCTCAATATCGAGTCTCAAGTTTGCCTGTGGCCGATTTACGGGCGGCTTAAGCCATTTATTCTTCGGTACGATATATCTGTCTCATACTCGTCCGGGTTGCCTTGGATCTGCAAGGCTTTGGTGGATGTGTGCTCTGTCACACACAGCCTTGACGGCAGTTAAAAAGGCTCTAAGCCTCTAACCCACCTGGCGGCATATCGAGTGCATACTTGTACTTCTTGGGACAACTAGCTGCTGGGCTGTAAAGTCCACACTACAACTGGCCTAGTCCAAATGCTGGGTTGTGCTCTTTGAGCAGTGCAATTCTCTCATTATCTGTTTACTAACAGTTAGGGGTGTTTAGCGCTCACCCCTGTGCGCTGTTTTTTTTGGGCTCTGCCATACTGTTAAACAACCAGCCTTGCAAGTTTTCTTCATGGCGCACTCCTAAAATTTCTGAGGCTCAGGGCTACCGGACCACGATGGCTGATGGCTCCTGGTGCCATCAACAAAGCTTGGCGCCGCAGGCGGCGTGGCAAAGCTTGGCGCGCAGTGCGGTTGCTGCCGGGCCTGGGTCTACTGGCGGTTTAAGAGCCTTGCAGGATTTCTGCATCGCTCACTCCTAAAATTTTGGAGGCTCGGGGCTACCGGACCACAAAAAATGGCTGATGGCTGCGCACGCCAGCCACAAAAGCTTGGCGCCGTGGGCGGCTAGGCAAAGCCTCTGGCGTGCAGTTTTGTGCTGCCAGGGCTGGGTGTATTGGCAGTTTCACTTGAACTCTGTGCAGTGCATCCTCTCAGGCCTGGCTTCTCCCAAACTCTTGTTTGCTTACTCTCATCCCTCTCAAAGATCCACCCTCACCTCCCAATCAATTGTCGAAATGGATGCATGTCCACGCGGTACCGATGATGCCAAGCTGGAGGAGAAAAGGTTTAAACCACCAGTACCTACCGCGTTTTTAGGCGTTAACACAGAGGCTGCTGCAAGGAAAAAAGAAAAAGAAAAAAAAAGAAAAAGAAAAAAAAAGAAAAAGAAAAAAAGAAAAGGAAACCAAGAAAGCACACACGCTTAGGTCTGGGTTTGTCTGGCTCTTATCTCAGAACTGACATTCGTCGTTATGCCGCTGACCTTGACACGCGTGCTATGGGTGATCCACAATATCAGTTGATGCCTGAAGATCTGGGCTCCTCTTGTCGTCGTTCTCCTTCCTTGTTGCCTTGACACTTGTGCCATGACTCTTTTTTTATCATGCTGCTGCAAGGATGCAAGTACTAATATTTTTTTTCTGAGCAGGAAAGCTGCCTGTTAATTTGTTGAATGATGCCATATGGATTGTTCAAATTCATTTAATTTGTAAATTGTATTCAATGGTAGTTGAGCCAAGTCAGTATCATCCATCCCCACAATTTTAGGAAAATTTCTGGTTAAGAAATCTTCCCTGCACCAAGGGGCCTAGCTCAGTTGATACACCCATGAACTGTTGAAATGCAGACCCAAGTTCGAATCCAGATGCCCGCCAGATGACCAGAATGAAATCATTCTAAAGTACCTGGGGCCGGTCGGTTCAACGGTGATATCTCAAGGTCATCACCCTTTAAAACAAAAAACTCTCAAAAAGATATTAAAAAAAAGATAAAAAGAAAGCGTCCCTGCAGACTGTCGGCGGACCGTACCTGGCCGTAGGTTCTGCTTGGCTGCCAACCAGAGATTTCTAAGATCAAACCCTGATCAGGTCCATCAGCACATGAAAAATTGACCGGCAATCACCCGTGTAAAGTGGATGACCAATCCTGGCGTGGGGGACCTGGGCAGGCAATGCAGGCTGCCACAACGAGGGGAAAAAACATGATGCTGGAATGTCGTGCACCACCATGCGACGTAAAAATGGCATGTGATGAAAATACGCCTGTTTCACATCTGGTCTGCTTGCTGCTGTGCTCTCTCCTTTTTGCTGTATTTGGTTGTTTCGTCGCCTTCCTTTGCCTTCCAGGGGGAGGGTGTTGTGATTTGCTTTCAAACTCGGCAAAAGTGGGGGGAAGGCCAGAGACACACACACACACACACACACACACACACACACACA